ATGTTTATCATTTGTGCCCCCCATTCATACATTCCTTTTACCACAAGAGTATTATTACATTGTATTTATAACCTGATTTTTTTTAATTCTTATGAGGAACCCAAGATACATGGGTTCCATGTTCCATTCATTCTTACAACAATAACCCTTTGAGGTGGGTTAGGCTAAGAGTGAGTGTCTGGCCCAAAGCCACTCAGTAAGCTTCATGATAGAGTGGGGACTAGATCCCAGATCTCCTGAGTCTCTGGTCCAACACTATCTACTCGTACAACATTGAACTTGCTCCCATTGTATTCTCCACTCTTTCCTGCATTGTCTTGCCCTTTCTCTTAATTGCTGCCTCATCACCATTGCTATGCCTACCCCTTCTTGTTACTGTGTCATACTTCCCCTCATCTCTTACCTTTACCAACATTCTGCATGGGTGTAGAATGCTACAGGTTAATCATGGCTTAAAGAACCAACCAGTCAACTGTGGGTTGATTAACCCATGATTAACTATAATGTTTTAACATCATATAAGAATCTCTAATCAGTCTGTGGCAGAATATGCAAAATGGCTGTGCTGTAGGAAGTTGTAGGTCAATTAATCCACAAATTTTCACTATTCCATTGTTTAGCAACCCCACCTGTCCCATACCTGGATCTGAGGAAGGACCTCAGACAGGTTTCTAAAGAACCAACCAGAATCTTCCTCAATTGACATGGCTCTCCAAAGGTAGCTGCTTGACGGTGTCCTGTTGGCCATGCTCTCAGTGTAGCAAGTGCCATGCAGGAAAGCTGCTGACAGGACTAGGGGCAGTAGTAGTGGAGCTCCTGGTTGTGATAGTGGGAAGCAGTACATTTTGTTGCTCCACCACCTGAATCGGGGCTTCACTCCACATTACGGAAAAGCCAGGCCTGATAAAAGGATCTGTTAAACATAGACTTCTCATCAAATGCTTAGTAGCTCATTTTATTTGCTTTTAATAAAGGGTTGGACACAGCATTATCCCTCCAATGTATACTTAAATAAAAATAATAACACAAACTTGACAAAAATATTCAAGACAATTATGTCAAAAGGGTTTTAAAATGCAATGAAAATGAAGACTATAAAATCTAGTTTTCGTGTCCCTTCTTGATTCATATGTGATCACAGGGGGAAAAGCTTAAAATTTTGAGATGGAAATTGAATGGCATTTCTAATTATAATGTTAATAGTGGGCTTCTCTTCTTCACTGTCTGAAAAGGACAGGCCTGGGTACTACTTGAAGCACTTGGCACAGTGAGAAGCCAGACAGGAGAATATCAGATCATTCCAGGAAATGCTCTTTGATATGCATGGAAAAATGGTTATCAAAGTCTTCCTCTACACCCCCATGAAATGTTACTAGGAAAATATTTGCTTTGGTTAACTGAGATAAGAAAACTGAGGAAATCCTGTTGATTTCAATGATGGAATTTGGTTACTCTCCCAGACGTTACACAAAGCAGAGGGAACTCTAATCATCTCACCATTTACGCTGTTTCCTAGCTCTAGATAAATCCTAATTTTTGATTCAGAAATTACATTGGACTGAAATCCTTCAACAAGGCATAGCTCCCTAAAAGGAATGATAATGAAACAGTGACAAATCTTTGGAAGGTAATACGGTTGCCAAGCTGCATGCTTCCAGAGATATTCTCAAGGACAGTCATTGTAGCAAACCCTGAGCTTGCAGTAATTGGATCTTAACTAACTGTGATTCATGGGTGAAGGCTTATTTATGCATTTTAGGTGTACACTGTTAAACCAGTTACACTGAGTGAAAAATGTCTCCAATTAATGAGGCAGTAGACTTTCAGTCTTTCAAAATGCAAGTGCTTAGAAAAACTGCCTGTAGCAAGCACCACATTTAATTAGGTGTTTATTCTGCATAGTTGGTAATTCCTTTTCCAAGATGGTAACTGATATGACATGTGTGATCTCAATGGTTTCTTGAAAGGGGCATTCACGCCTGCATGTACCCTGATAAGAAACCATGATGAACCCTTTAAAAAAAACCCTTTAAAAGAACATACAGTTTGACAGCTGTCAAACTCCAAAGGAGGTGGCTTTTACTTTTCCATGTTCCAAGCACCTAGATTCTTGGGAACAAGTGGAACGAACATCCTCAGAACTGTCGTGTTAAAAAAAAAAAAAAGGATATTGCCAAGAAGGGGGGTAACTCCTACCATCCTCTTTTCACAAGTACAGATCAGTTGTACCTTTGGTTGTATTTGACAGTGCCTTTTGCTAGCTGCCACACCAACTCCACAGTGATGGAAAAGGCTATTTGGAGCATCTCTGGTTCCATGTCCCAGGTTGCATTTACCACAAGACACCTCTATAGACATTGCCCAGCCAAGGCTGCCTATTTTTGGAAGATAAGCCTTTTTTGAAAAATGAGTGCAAATATTTGCACACGTAAGTCTGTTCCCATTTAATAAAAGGTTGGGGAAGGTAGGTTGCAAGCACAAACAGACCACTTAAGATGCCTCTTGGGTACTTCAAGAAGTTATCAGAAGAGGGATCATGAAAACTGGCTTTCAAATCAGACATTGCAAACTTGCTGTGTCTGTGTGAGGGGAGGAGTGTTAGTGAGAAAAATGATTCACAGTGGTGTGGTGGGAAGGTAGCAAGTGACAGATACGTCCAGTTGTCGTTTAGGCACTTGCAGGGAGGATGTCACTGGCAAAGGCCAGGGCAAACTTGGGAAGTGTGGCAATGTGCCATGTGTCTCTTCCCCATCCCTCAATGCCAACACTGAGCTATAAGTGCAGTGAGTGCCAGGGACTCAAAGGAGGAAGCCAACTACATGCTGGAAATTAGATAAGACATAGTTTTTCACATGTGACAAAAGGGGTTGTTAGCAGACATGGGAGATAAGTCCTAGCATGTATACTTTGCATCAGGTATCCCCTTTCCTTCTTCCCTTGCTTACCAGTGTCTGTTGCTCTTGCTTGGCAACTGACTTGTTAGAATAGAGATGATATTGGACATTTGTGTCTAAAATTCCAAGGTGCCTTGCACCAGTCTGGTCTAAAGTGATGGTCTAAAGATAAGGGAGTAGCAATTGACTAAAGAGGTGTAAAATGCAGTGTTAGTATATTTCTCCCCATTATTGCTTGCTTCCCGTTATTGCTTTTGATCTGGAATGGAAGAGTTCTGCTGGTATATCTAAGGTGTTCCACTGGCATATCTGATATGGTGGTAGAGTAGATACTCAGCTAACATAAAGGGGCTTCTTTTGAATAGTCCTAATCCTTCAGTATAGGATTGCAGTTTTCATGTGGTCATGTTATCCATATTATAATCTTGAGTCTGAAAGTTTCCATAACACCTATCTTATGCCAAAAGTATAAGGAATAAGATTGGCATTTAGTTTCTTCTCATCTAACCATGTTGTTGTTTTTGTTAATACACTAATATTAACAATATTGAAAAGTCAGTAGTTTGCTTGCCAATCTCCCAGGTTGCATAGCTTGCATCTTAACCAGGTGCCAAGCTGTCATTCTGAAACCAATTAATATTCATGGTAGATATGGAACAGTGCCATGTTTATGTAAAGAGTAATTCACAAGCAGCTCCATCTGCAGATTATTGCTGCTTTATCAGAAGCAAGCACAAAATCACTTCTTGTACAGTTTTTGTATTTTGATTGTTGCAGGAGTAGTAATTGGTTTAACATCAAGGTTCTTTTAATACTTTTTTATTTTTACCAGTTATATTCTTGGAGGGATCATTTTGATTCTCAATTTGCTATTACACAGCCAGCATGGGATAAGTAGAGGTTCACAGTCTTTAACCACAAACTCATTTTCTTCCTCTAAATTCTGTGACAGAGAAGGCCCAGTGTTCAGAACCTAGCTATCCACCATGGGAGAAAGCGGCAAAGATGACTTGCTGCTTGACTGATGAGATGAACTTTCAAGTACTCTTCAAGGACTTGAAAGGTAATCTCACAGAGGACTAGGATCTCTTCTCAGTCATTCCAGGGTGGAAGTCATGGAAAAATGGGCTTAAGTTACAAGAAGCCAGGTTCCAGCTGAACATCAGAAAATGTTTTCCTGTTAGAGTAATACAGTGATGGAACCAATTAGGGAGGTCATGGACTGTTCCACACTGGAAGTGTTCAGTATGCCTCTGTACAGCCATCTTTCTATATATTTCCCTATTAAATTCCCTTTTGAAATCTATTTTCTCCAGTATATGCATTTTACATACTTTTTTTAGAAGTCTATCACAAAATTGTGAGGAATGTGTAAATCGGGCAAAGTGCATTCTAGTTGATGTGTTAGTTTGGGTAGCAATTAGGTTGGCTTGTATTAAAATGCATACCAAATCAGTTTCTCCCCCATTCTTATGTAGGTGAATTACATGTAGATCAAATAACTTTCAGTGCCCAAGGAGTCTGGGATGAAAAGGGAGGTTGATGAGCATATCTTGAAGGTGCATTGACTATTTGGTACATGCATAAATGTATATATACTTTTCTACTGTCATTTTTCTACTGAAGCCCCCTGCACCTCTAAAATACCACTTTTAAGAGCAAGGGTATCCTGTGTGACAGAATAAGATGTAGTACATTGACATCAGCAAGAACTGGCAAAAATTCTAGTTTGGGTGGCATAAATTAGGTTGGTTTCTATTAAAACATGATACAGGTGATTTCTTCTTTTGAACTAGGTACTATCTATTCTTCCTATTTAGTAGATCAGAAAACTCTAGCCTGCCAACAATATAAAAAACCAACCCCTCCCCGCAAAAAAGATATTACATTTATTACAAATCAGATAAAGAGGTTGAACTACAACTTACGGAGAGGTGGTATTTCCCAGTCTCAGGAACATCTGTAAAAGCCCTGTTCCTAGGTGCAATGTATCTCACCTGATAAAGGGTTACAATACAAAAAAGGCAAGATATTTACAATACGTATGTAAGTATGGATCTGTGTTCTTTTTGACAAACTATTCATTCTGCTGTTTTTATTTTGTAGGAAACGCATGAAATTGTGGCCATTAAGAAATTTAAAGACAGTGAAGGTAATTTTCTTTGCCTGTGTGAATGCATTTGACATTAAATTTAGTATTTTTGTGTATGATAATCCTTCAGTTGTTATGCAATGCTAGTATTAATTTAATATATTTACTCTTTTCTGAAATTAAATGTAATAATCTAGACACATGGGGTACTATTCAGTTGACATTGCACTAGCATAGACCAACACTCGCACAGCACCATTAGTGCTTGCTAGCAGAAAGGGAAAAACTGGTTATCTACCCAATATTGCCACTTTTCCCCTTTGTATTAGCAAATGCTAATGATCTTGATCTAGTGTTGGTTTGTACTAGTGCAGCATCATTAGTGCTACTCCACCATTGGATACTACCCCTTACTCTTTTGTGTCAAAAAGAACGACATGAAAACATTAAAGTTTCTGAAATGATGCTGGATAGTCTTAACCATACAGTAATAAAATAGTTAGCTTACCAGCTAATGGACAGATTTTAATTTTTTTTACTCATTGCCAGTTGGAGTTCTTTTTAGACCAAGGAGCTAAGCTTTTCACGGAGGTAGATTAAAATATTATGCTCCATTCTGCTATATTCAGCAGAACTTTATTTAGACATGCATATTCATGTCTGGAAAGAATTTGTGTCTGCAGTCTTGGGAAACTTAGTTTCCTGCCTTATGCAGAAATAAACTCTGAAGTTATTAGTGATAATTCTGTTTCATACTTCAGTTGTTTACATTTTAAAGACAGAGAAATATCAATTTTGAAATGGTTTTCCCAACAGTTGTTTTTATGATTTTTGGTAGCTTGTTTCAGCCAAAGTATACTGTTTTTATATTCTGGAAATAAACTAAACAGCTATGAAATCTAGGCCCACTACATACAGGGAGGCACTTGCAATTAAATGCAGGGTGGGTTCACTATTGGCAAGGAAGTTCCATGTGGGCTTCTTGTTCCAGTGGCATTCACCATTTTGAATATTTGAACTGCAGCAGGGACATGCCATAGCTTGTCTTTATGTGTGAACCAGCATGAGTAGGTTGTCAGAATAGTTGTCAATCTATCTGCATCCCTCAGACAGCCTTTGGGTTTTTAATGGCTTGTCAAATACTCCAATAACCCACCCTTTCCAGGTATGTACATATCAACTGATGGCATACCTCCTCTGTGGCCCAAATATTCAGAATGGCAGCTTCTACTGCAACATGAATTCCCGCAAGGACATTCTATCATTGTTTCTCATTATGTGCAGACCAGTGCATTGGACAAGTTCAGATAACATGCTAAGCCACCCTGAGAATAAGGAGCAATAGCTTGGTAGTTAACTTGCAATCACAACAAACGATTTGGCACTCTGTGGATTACTATAGCATACTGCTTTTCCCCTTCTTGCCGATACCCTTGTTAATTTTATTCTCCCTTTTCCTTTCACTTTCTAAAATGCTGCTTCACCTACTCCTGAAGTAAGCATAACCTCTCAAAAAGTGCCTTTTCCTGCAGCTGCATTTCACTTAATGCTTTCTCTTCAAGCAGCTGGTCTCTGTTGTTAACTGTCAGATCTACATGTAGGTTACAGAGCTATGATATGGATTGATAAAAATGCACAAATTTCAGGGCCAAACAATGAGAAGATTAAGTATATATGTGCAAATTTCAAGGCAGAGTAGTAAAATGGAAGGGGGAATTATGCAAACTGCATGGCAGCGTATTGATGTTGCATGGTGAATGTTGTTCTACCATGTTTGGATGTCATGCCAAGGGGTTGGGAATCACCATAGCCTAGATCATTCATGGGTTGCTATGTTATAAGAACAAGATCAGAGTGAGCAAATGCTTCAGGAAGCAGATTATTTGTGTTATGAAAAAGCAGCAAACAGTAAGTTCTCTACTTTGATAGTATCATATTTTGCTGTCAGGGATGGCGAGATTGGTGTATTTTCTGTCTCATATGCCCACCTAGGTTGGTTGACTTGGGGTTTTATGCATGATGACCTGGGTGACTACAGGATGCCATTGGCTGTTTCAGGCAGTACAGTGTCATGAACTAGCTGCCCTGGCCAAATGGCTCATGCCTGTCACACACTTTCCAGCACAAAGGTAATTCAGGGATAAACAGTATCAACTGTGGATACTTTTTCATTCACATTAAAAAATGACCTAGGAAGATGGGCACGTCCTGATTCTGTTTTTGTAATTAGATGCTCTAAAAGTGAACCTACTCTTTTTGGTGCAGAGTATTCTTTTTCTCTTGCCTTCTACATGAGAAAAGAGACTTGGGGTGGTGAAGTAGCCTACAAGTATAAAGGAAACAATTGAGCTTTGATCTGAGGTAGACTTGGAAAATGCCTTACCCAGTTAAGCCAACACCTAATATTTAAGACAATGGAGACCTGTGATAGGGCCCAATAAAAGCACATTTATTGCATATTGCACAAATTCATCTTCAAGTGTGTGCTTCATTTGCAGAGAAACTGTATTTCCCAAACATGCAAATGGAAATTTGTATTAGGGAATGCAGCGCTTCAGAGGGGTTGGTAATTTATTGTGGCAGCTTACACATCCCAATAATCCACTCAGACCACAAGCCACTAAGGACTGGCTTTTCCTTTGCTGATCCACAGTGGTGCTGATAGATTATCAGTCTCTCCAAGGCTTGTCACAGCTTGTTTCCAATTTATTGCTTCTGCCTGGTCTCTATACACATCTCAGCGGCCTTTGCAGCACAATTCCTGTATACTTTTGCTTTGATTAGATTCATCCCATTCTTACCCTGCTAAGCACCTGCATTGCCACTGATAAGTAGCTGAAGGTTTGGTTTATTTTGGTTAACACTTTTTTAAAAGCCTCCTTGTCTGCTTCTTTCAGTTTGTTTCCCTTTCTAACACAATTAGGCTTGTCTGAGTGATTGAATAAGCATGCATGCCATCAGTGACAGGATTATGGTCATTTTGGAGAGGTGATTTAAGCTTCTTTCTCTCGGCCTTGCAGAAAATTGGGAAAATCAGCATGAAAATAGGAGTGGGTAGCTCAGCCCCCCTTATCTATCTGTCTGTCTGTCTATCTATCTATCTAAAACTGTCACCCAATTGTGCCACAGCATCTTTCAGACAAGCAATGAATAACCTGCTCTTCCAGGTTGTAATGTCAAAACATGAACAGCCCAACAACAATCCATGGATTCTCAGCATGGTTTTTTTCTCTGTTCATAGAGGTTTAATATCGCAACACTGTTGCGATATTTTATCAATTTTATTGATAAATTTTTGATATTTTATCAAAATTTTATTTTATCAATTTATCCTCATAATAAATTGAGCTTGATACAAGGCATCTTTCTTCAAAAATACTCAAAGACTATTGAAAATATTCAGTAGTCTTTTCCATTACAGAACATACTGGAAGGGGTTTGCTTTTTGTTGGAGATAATGGGTATTTAAGAGTATTTCTAAATTGCTTTCTCTAAAAGGAGTTGGGGAAGCAGAATTTTGGAAGGAAAAGGAGATTCTAGAACAGCTAAGCAGATCTATCTTGGTTCAAAAACAACTTGCAAACTGTTATCTTTTTTTTAAAGAGTTCACAATTATACACTGACTGGATTCCAGTGTATAAGCCATGGTTGCAAGTTGTCTAATTCACACTATTACCCAAGTGTTTCAGGCTGTTTGTAAACTATTCCAGCCAGCCACCTTTGCCAGGTTTTGATATCACAGCAATCCATCCTAATGAGTATGCTTATGCTAATTAGGTGGTTGTTGACCAATATGCATGAGTCACCATCTAAGTTACTATAGATTATTTTCTCTCCACAATTGCGTGAACCTTTTCAATAATTACAAGATTGGTTAACCATGTGTGCAATATGAAAATGATATTGGATGAAGTCCTTCAATAGTCTTAATTAATTTTAAAGTTACTTTCCCATCAAATGTCTAGGTAGTAGGCACATTCTTGGAATGAAAGGAAAATAAATCAACAGTGAACACTCAGATACGGAAGCATTTTACACTTCTGTTCAAAGCCTGCTGTGGGGAAAGGATGTTCAAGCTAAATGTTAAAAAATGTTTCTCTTGAATTTTAAACAATGGTTCAGGTATTCTGTAGCTGTTTAAATAATAATCTTAAAAGTGGTCCTTGCATTGCTGAAATAGTTAACATTTTATATGAGCAGTAGATTCATATAAAATTTGAAATTTTTGTAAACTTTTTCTTGGGTCCCACATTTAGGAGGAATTTTTTTAAACAAAAAGTCAAAATTTTTATCAATAGTTCTTTAATTTTCAGAAAATGAAGAAGTCAAAGAAACCACTTTACGAGAACTTAAAATGCTTCGTACTTTGAAACAGGAAAACATAGTGGAATTAAAAGAAGCTTTCAGAAGAAGAGGAAAACTATATTTGGTATTTGAGTATGTTGAAAAAGTAAGTTCATTATTTAGAGAAAGTGCAGACATTAACACAGATAAGTAAAGTTAAAACTGATGCTATATAGGGTGGAAAGGATTACGAGTTGGAGCCATAATCTGGTGTATGAACTTAAAAGAATGTATATTGTATAAGAATGGCTTTACTGTACTTCGATATACAAATCTGACTTTATCATACTAAGTTACATTTTGCACTTCAGTTCATAACTATGATAAATATCTATATACTTTCCTATATATCATACCAGGACCTGATTTCCTGGAAAAACTAACAGCCGAACTCTGAGTGTTGTAGTTTTATGAGGCTAGTATGGAGAAAAGTATCCCCCTCTCACGCTTCTCTACATCATGAATAATGTTTCAAAATGTTTCTTTGCTTATCTTATTGTCTCCTTACATCCCCCATTGCACAAACATGTGCTTCCTTTTGTTTTTCTTTACCTCGGACAAGATTTCCTTTTCTTGAAGGAAGCCTAAACTAAACTATTAAAAGCAAAAGCAGTAGCAAAAATCAAGTAGAATAGTAATTGTGCTTGATTATAGTAAGACAATAATTGTGTTAACTGCAAAATGTGCTAGTATTACTATCAGACGTGCTAGTGTGCTAGTATACAAAATGTGCTAGTATACTCTCTTATGTTTAATTCCTAGAATATGCTTGAATTGCTAGAAGAAATGCCAAATGGGGTCCCACCTGAAAAAGTAAAAAGTTATATTTACCAGCTAATTAAAGCAATTCATTGGTGTCATAAAAATGATATTGTTCATAGAGGTAAGTACATTAGAAATGAGAATTGAAATCTTTAAGATTTCAGAAAGTAGGGTGATGGCATTGTGTATCATAAATACTTGCACTTAAGACTGGTTAGCTTAAGAAATACAGAAGAATGTACAGAATATTTGCACTCTTATCTTTAATACACACACACACACACACATACTCCTAAAGTAAAATTTAATATATTTTATGAATTAGTTTAAATACTTATACCAATTTAAATCATATCTAGAAAACATTTTTCTCATGCGGTTGTTACCATTATGCTGTTGTCAATAAATTAAGGAAATCACTTTGGTTGTGCTCACATATTTGGATATGCTCACATATCTTTAGTATTAACATATTTGCATATATAATCTTTGTTGCTTGTGTGATTAGAAATAGTTAATGGATTACAGCAATAAAATTATTCATGTAGAATGTAAATAGAATTAAATTAAAAGTTAATTAACAAGGAATGAAGTTATTTTATTACTTGTCATGTAAAAAACTGTCAGGCTCGACAGATAAAATTTGCATTGCTTTCTAAACTCAAGAGCCCCAAAATACCACAGGAGGACAACATTTTTAAATCATCTTTCATTCCCTCTGACTCAATTTTTGTCAAATGTTGTTACAAGCTACCAGGTTGTCTCTGACTTAAGTTAACCCTATGAACAAATACTCTCCAAAGTGTCTTCTTGGTAGCTCTGCTCAGCTCTTATAATCTGAAGGATGTAATTTCCATTATGGAATCAATCCAGCTCATAGTTGGTATTCCTGTTTTCCTTGTGGCTTTGTTTTTCTTGCCTTGTCATGGTGTCCCCGAAGTGTGAAAGCTTCAGTTTCATCTTCTTTGTTTCCAGTGCCAAACCTTAATTTGTGTTAACTATAGTTTAGAAACAAAACTATATTTTCTGCTTTTTCTTGCATCATCTCATGCAGCATCATGGGTTCTCCCACATCAGCAACATTTGAGGTTGAGCAGTGTTTATATAACTTTAGTCTGCCAATTCAGGCATCACACAAACCCATTTTAAGCTTCTTTAACCACTGTTCGGTGTGGTATTGGTTTAGGCTAATTAAATAAACTTTCTAGATAATGCACATTATATAACATCTTCCCTTGTGTCTGATTTAATGTACATTTAGAAAAACTTGACAAAAGCAAGGAACTCGACATGCTTAAATATTTTCCATTTAAACAATGATATGTCATGATTGCTTAATTTATTTCTGAAAGTTCTCATGGTTATGTCTCAACACTAGCGTTACTGACATTGCCCAGATCTCACCAACACTTGTGCAATATAACTAGTGCTTGCTAGTACAATGGGGAAAGTGCTAATTAGTTGCTGAGAATCAGCAACATATAAGTGTTTTTCCCTATTGCCCTAACAAAAGCAAGTTGCATTATGTAATTGTTGGTTTATGTTAACACCACGTCACTAGCACTGGATGTAATTTTCCTGTATTTCAAATACATTTAGCATCAATAATATTTCCAATTCTCTTAAATCGACTATTAATGCAGAATATATTAAATACTGTGATTTTTTAAAACTTTTTCCTATGCATTGAATATTTCAGATATCAAGCCAGAGAATCTTTTAATAAGCCACAATGATATTTTGAAATTGTGTGACTTTGGTAAGTGGTTGTCTTTTTTGTTTTGGTTTAAATGTCCTTTTTTAAAAGAAGGGATGTCTTTTTATTTTAGCGCTTAATTTCTAATTTGACATTTAAGTTTGACTTAGCTTTTATAATAGAACATAATTGGAAAAATCCCTAAGCTTTGTTTTGAATCTGTTTTAAAGTTCTAAAACTTATTTCTCTTTTGCTAATAATCCAATTATTTAAATGGCTTAATATCTAACAAATTTATGGAAACATAAATGTAGACCTAGCTGACACCAAAAGCTAAGAGATAAAGGAGAAATTACTAATTTTGTTGTTGCAATATTTCATAGTCCTTTAAGTTTTCCTAAAATACTTAAAGATAATGCTTTGTAACAGCAAGTTTCAAAGTTCTTCATGTACAATCATTGGGAAAACAATAGCACTTCAGATAGGGTACTATGAGGAGCAGATAGCGGTACAGCTTAGTAATTAAGAAAATCGGCTGTTACAACAAATAACATTTCTACACATTGGACTTCAGTAAATTTTCTTGTTTAAACTGTAGTTAGTAGGTTAATCAACAAATTCCTTGGTTGTCTCAGCTGAGATTGGGACTTAACATGGATTGGATTGGGTTCTGGTTTTATTTTTATTTTATTTAAAAAGCCTTTAATTGGTAGGTACCCCTAATTTTAAGTGGCTGGTTTCAAACATTTTTAATGTCATTATTATTTAGAGTTTTAAAAAGTACAGCATGAAAGTGACTTGCATTTTTGATTCTGTTTTCTGTATCTAGTTATTTCTCATAGAAGAAAAATCCATTAATTTCTAAAATATCCTAGCCAGTTGGGATGAACAATAGTTATTATATGATTGCCAGTAAATACTATTCTATTATCATGTTCAGAATCAGGATCAAGATCTGAATAGCTAAATCTGAAAATGAAATATATATTTTTTTGAACACAGCAACCAGGTTCACATGATCAGGGAAGGGAAATAAGCCACTGTAACTTATTTGTCCTTCCTGCACCCGCTGGTCATGAGCTGCCTAATTACCATAATTGCCTGCACTGAGCACGGATTATTATGATGTCTAAAATGGACAAAGGAGGATGGCTGGTGTGGTTTCTTGGTGAGTTTCACTTCACAACAACCTGGGTCTGGCATAGTAATTATGCTAATTAGGCAACTTGCAACCAGTGTGCTTAGGAAGAGAAAAAAAGCCACCTGGCTTATTTTCTTTCTGTGATGATGTGAATCTTCCCAGTGGCTTAGTTTGTATGATAAAGTACTATAGCATGTTAATGTCTGCCAGTTGTGTGCTGCCTAATATATCTAATTACCCTAATTATCTAAGTCCAGCAAGGGTGGCTGGCTGTGGTGATTAACAAAGTATCTAATATCCCTGGAACAAGCTATGGGTTCTTGGTGGTTTGTTAACCATCCCGGCCAAGTTTGGACATCACAGCTGCACCCAGCAAGGATTATTAGGTGACACATGATCAGCACATGTCGGCCGATTACCAAACTACCATGGCTTATAAATCACACTTATTTCATCAAACATGGCATATATGTGTAATTTTTAGTCTGTTTCAGAAAATCTTGGTATTCCTTGCAAGTTTATCATAGTTCCCTACTAAAGCAGTCAGAAATACTTCTAATGAACCATTAGTGGTAGATTATAAATCTGTGGGAAATGATATCTTAAATATGCTTTTATTGTTGCGCCTAGTGAGTTTAGTTAAATAACTGTTCTTACTGCAGTAGGCGACTGCAGGATGTTTAACAAAGCACTTTTGTGTAAGTGGGGCATCTTTGGCTATTAATAAACCTGGCCAATGCCTTGTGTGCCATGCTAACATGCCACTGAGAATTCTCTGCAAGCATATGCTTCATTATGGAAAAGGATCCTAAAAGTGACTAGTCTGCCTTCACAACAGAAATGCATTTAAAATTAAGGCTAGAAATACATCTCACTGAACTCAGTAAATATTTGAGGAGATCACACTGGAAATTAGAGGTTTTTCTGTTTTTTTCAGTCCAAAAGCTACAAATAAGTGACCTTAAACCTTACAGCCTTCATACACTGGTGTACCTTGGCAGTACTGTAATTTATATATGTAAAATGTGTGGTAGCTGCTCAGGCACATGTTGTGTGGGTGTGGTTTTTTGCTAAGAAAAATGTAGAAGGAAGAGTACTAAGCACAGACTAATTGTGGCAGATGCAGTTGGCTTTTATGCCACAGTGTTTCATGCTCCAGTACATCTGCTATGTTGAGACTGTTCCCTCCCACTACTTTACTTATTCACTAAAGGTTTTACTCAGTCTAGTGAAACGTGCAAGTACACTGAATATATGTAAAATGCATCAGTGGCACAAACCAATCCCTAAATTTATGCTTGTACTGGCAGTGCCTCTGAGTTGATAAAATCTTACTCAGGTAACTTTGCATGATGAAAGTGTAAACATAAGCGTTTATTATCATTCTTTCATTTCTAGGGATGCTGCTTCTATCATCTATAGTTAATAACCAGTTAGTTATATGATTCACTGTCAGCCGAAAGACTGTTTACTGTGGAAAGCAGTTTTCTGAACCACAGAATAATTGAAACATGAATGGATCTTAGTAGATGATGATGATGATGATACATTGCCCTAAAAACAACAAAGTGCCTCTCAAACAGCAGAAATATATTTACACCAGAACTCAGTACTTTGTAGGTACAGTTTTTAAAGGAAGCAACTGCTTTCCCACACACATTGTGAGATGTTTGCTGTTAAGTCAGCTGCCAGAAGGTGAGAACAGAATCTTGAATCAAAGATGTTGTGATCCTACTGGATGGGCCACTTCATACTTTCCACAAAAGCTGTGAGAGAGGAAGCAGAATTACTTCAACTGTATTTCCTGATGTCTGTTCCGAAGGGGAAACATGCACACTGAGCCTGTTCGGTGCTTAGTTTTCACATGACACGTGGAAGCAGACAGTGAATTACTTTTTTTTTCCTTTCTGTGTAGTATGCAAGCAGTTCCTTATATATGAGCTTTTTTGTTGCTGAATGTAGTATTACTGGGCATAGAATAAACTTAACACTTCACTTACCTGAAAAAGAAACCCCTAGAGCACATTGACTCACGGGCCACTGATGAAGAGCTTACAAGACTAACAGCATCACTTCAGTCGTGTGAAGTCAGTATTTTAAATATAGAAGAACTGGACTTATGATACAGGCATTTCCTTTTAAAAACAATTTTTAAACTTTAAATGTTAAAAAATGAAAATTCTTATTGAGTCATTTTCAAATTACCCTAATACAGGTTTTGCACGGAATTTGTCGGAAGGAAGCAATGCTAACTACACAGAATACGTGGCCACAAGGTGGTACCGTTCACCTGAACTCTTGCTTGGGTAAGTTATCATAAACTCTATAGGCAGATGCTGACCATTTTGTAAAGCTTATAAATTGTGTGTGTGTGTTTTATTCTGGGTTTTAATCTAGTATAATGAACACATCTAATCATATTATGCTGCTTATGAACAGTGGCTCAGTATGATGGTCAACAATAAATTGAGTTTTCGATCTTGTTGTCTCTTGAAGTTTAATTTTGCAATTTCATCTTGTACAAGAGTTTGTTTAAAAGTCTAGGCTTCTGAAGAAGCCAGTTATCTCTACATATGTCTAGGGCAGAGCTGCATCTTTTAGTGTAGAGGGAGAGCCATTAATTCATGAAGGGTGGTATACATGAAGAACCCATTCCTTATTACCAATGAGGCCCAGACTCTGCTTTCTTGGCAGGCTAACTAACTTCATTTTGGGTGTGTATTTTTCAAGAGACTATTCATTTGGAAATTCATAACACATTTTGTTATGGGCCATTGACAAAATTGAGATCCCAGATGACCATCTTTGTCCTGGAGTTCTCTGGCTGAAAATGGCTTACACTTATGAATCACTTGGCTAATTATTTATTATTATTGATAGCAGCTCTCCTCCTTTTTCCTTAGCACTTCAATTTTGCTAAAGCTCTCAATATAACAAAATCCATTATCTTACAAAAAGTAAAATAAAATTTCTGGGAAAGGTGGTGGATCTTCTGTTTAAGGTTGATCTCACGTGAATAAAGTTTAAGGTGACACAGATTAACATATGGCATGAGGCACATTAAGATATCTCTGATCAAATTTAGCTCATTTGAGTTCTGTACCTCCATAGTAATTTTTTGTTGCAAAGGAACAACTGGTTGCTTCTTTTATTTGTAGAGAATGAAGAGGCTGTATAATGTACCCCTCCTGTGTGTCTATGAATATATCAATATATCTTTGTTGTTTTTTCAATAGTGTATTGTTTTTACTTTTTGTTCTGAGGTATAAAGACACTGCTTTTTGGAATATTTTAATGCAGCGGTGCCATTTTGTTTAAGGGTTTTAAAAACGTTATTTAACAAGCCTGATAGCCAGTCATGCTCAGAATACTGAGCATTGCTTCTTTTTCCTGCTATGAATCTCTTTTAATTTTAACTTGCAAGAATTTTTACTAGTAAAACTACTTTGTTTTTATACTTCTGCAGAAAAAGTTTATTCTTAAGATAATTTATATCATTGATGTGCAAACAGGACATTTTTGCAGATAGTATTGTGTGAGAGGAGTGCTCTAAATGAGTTTAGCTTTAGTGTGAACTTTGATGGTAGCAGTGGCAACTTCCAGGGCTTTTGTGCATATTTAGATGTACTTTGGGAGACTATCAGAACAAATCACAAGAATGCGCGCTCGCTCGCGCACGCTCGCTCTCGCTCTGTGTGTGTGTGTGTGTGTGTGTGTGTGTGTGTGTGTGTG